TACCCTTATTTCAACGGGATTATGTCCATGATTGCTTGGAAAAGGTAGTTTGGATTCTTCAGGAGAGGTGGTGTAGTGGCTGGGGAATCCTTACCACATGCGCAAACCGCTGGTCAATTGCACATTGGTCCCCACCCAGGCCAACCAAGCTTTCTACCCTTGGGGGCGACAGATTGGTACCAGATCCATTTGAGGGAGTAGAAAGCTTCAAAGAGGTCCTTGTCCTCTCGGAGCTGAACCCCGCAAGTATTGGGTAGGCCAAATCGCGTTCAGTAGGTCGCACGATTCTGAATAGAGGTAGAATGCGTGGCGTATCCCAAATTATTGTTCACTGGTAAAGACTATATTTTCTATCCTTCATACTTTAGAAGCGACCGCGGACGAACGCCGTCTCATCGACCCTCGAAGAAGCCCCGACTGATGGTTGATCGCTCGTTGGACGATAGCGGTCCTATTTCTGAGGACGATCTTCCGCTTTCTGACATGAAACGCCGCTGCACACTTCGTTCACGGAAACGGATAGATTATTCAGGATTGGACTGGGATGAGGATTAAGTGTGACCAAGTTACTATCTGAATCTCATTTCAAAAGATTAATCATTTATTGCATAGCTTTCATTTATCCATTAACAGTTTTTACTCACTTCTTAATTACTGCCTTCTGTAAATGATACTCTTTTTACGGTTATCCAGTGTCTCTAGGCATTCCATACAGGGCACGTCCTGCTGTTGGGGAGTAATTTCGCTAAATACAACCACCCCCCCCCCCGCTTATTATTTCTTCTTTTGGTACGACCGCATTTCCCCATTCTGAATTCTTCCAACATTCCACTGAATATTCGACACTTCCTCCCATTTCTTCGGGGAAATTTTCTGGTTCCCCCACATCACCCCCAACGACCGTCTTAAAAGCTGGCGACCTTTTCCAGAAATTCGTCTATTTTTTCCCTAAAAAATGTCGCCAAGCGGAGAACGGAGAAGCATATATAACACACTTCCAGCAGGAGAAACCGAGAAAAGTAAAGAACCGAAACCTTTCTCTCAAAGACAACTTCGACCCCCACCCTCCACCGACCGACAAAATTCGACACCACCTCTAGCGGAGGATCCCCAACGTACGACGTACCTTGATTTCATTACTTTTTTGAAAACTGAAATTATTATGAGCACGATTCTGATGTCGTCATGCGTGATTTGTTTTTTTTTCAATGTATGTTTCAGCCTTTGTAAAGGTTTTTTTGCCCACTCGAATCCCGGTAAATATGCGATTCATTTGGTTATTGATCTCGTCAATAAATTGAGTTGATTCAGTGCTGGTTCTGAGTTCCGATTGATCGTTAGAGAGGTTGTACAGCTCCATCTGTCTTCACTAATTTACACTTTTGCCGCGGGTCGTGACTTTGCACTCTCCGCTATCACTGCGGATATGCTCTTTGTTTAATGTCGTCCGCCTCAGTGTATCGAACGCTTTCTCTCTCACTTAGGTGACCAACCAATCGGCTGGACAGAGAACCCTCAGATTATCGAGCTCGAATCCGTATGAGACCTCCTCGTTCGACCACATCCGTCGAAGCAGGTATTGCATTTCCTCGCTAATTAATATCTTTCAAATGATCAGGGACTGAGTAGATGCTCGATTTGCTGAATTAATCGCAGCGCAGTTCGGCTTGGAGGGGGCATTTCACACTCTCGCTAGCTCCTTCTTGTTTGTACATGTTGATTAACAGGCCTCACTTTGTCGAGACCTACGCGAAATGAACAAGTGAGCCACTTTACTTATAGAATTTCACAGGCCTTCACAAGTTTGCTTGTGCAAGCTGCTAAATACGACTAAGTGCCTCCTCCCAACCAAATTGCATCTGAAGCTTCTATGGCTCTTGGTATCACAACAGAGAGCGAATAATCCGCACCAAATCACAATTCATATTTACCTCCTTGCTGAGCTTAATTTCTGTCCATTGTTATAACCCAAGACCTTCCTTACGTCCTACTTTTGCACCTACAAAGGTAAACATTTTGCGAGTGAATTGTATCGGAGTAGAGGGTCATCGCCTTCTGTGAAATCCTATCAAGTTGTTCCTGTTCTGGAATTTGCACAATTTTAGGGTAGCGTTTCCAGTTTGTTCAACAACTTTTGTTTATTTTGTAAATCGTGACAAATATTCAGGATGTAAGTGTGAAACTTTACTTGAACTGCGAGAAGAATAGCTTCTCCCTCACTTCTTGACCAGAGCAATCCAGTCATTTTTCCAGATTGGGAAACGTTGCCGGCGACCAAACGCGCCTCTAACTCATCGTTGGAGCGTCGGACGGTGAAACAGCAATCCCGTTCAGAGCTTATTATGTCCAAACAGTCTAACGATTAGCGGTAGGGTGCGACTGAATCGTTCGCTCACGAAGTATGATCGCAACCTAGTCGATAAGACCATGAACAAACGAAATTTTGAGTGGTTCAAGCTGCGTGATTGCCCGGTTGTCTCCTTATTGCCAACCATCTGTCTGTAAGCAGAGTGCAGGAGTTGCCAGTAAAGTGAGGCAGCTAGTAATAATAAAAGTAAAGCTTTGGGAATCGATCAAACCTTTTTGGAAGGGCGAAAACTATTTCCATTCGTAGAGGCATTAACATACGGTTTGGCCTACACCATAAGTTGCGAAGAGCATGTCACCGTTTTTATCCCCACATGGATTTGAACCAACTTACCTCTGAAGGTAAGGGCCTAATTGGTCTAAGCAGTCGCCGCTCTGAGAATGGACCTCTCATTTGGAACACCTAAATTCCATTCTATCATCAGTAATGATGACTCCCATTTTTTTAGAACAAAATTCAACCATTTTCCTCTCCCTTACGATCATTTTTGTATTTCTTTCACTTTGTTTCCCCGAACACCAGTTGAATTTTTATTTCCTAAACCCACTTCTGAATCCGCAAGTTCCCGCAGGAAAGAGCACTCACTCTCCGTACTCTTTGTTTTATGAGATACTTGTTGTTGTTCATTATAGGTATGGAAAACATACAAAAATCGTTAGAAGGGCTGAGTCTGGAGGAAAAGGTGGCAAAACTCGTAAAACGATTAGCCGATAGTGAAGAAAACAATGTGAAGTTAAAGGAAAAGGCAGCTCAGGTAAGTGTACTGTAGTTTATCCTAGTCGTTTACATTAGCTCAGAGTTTGCTTTCGCTATTATAACGGCTTTCTCGGACCTTGAATGGAATTGTGCATCTATACTCCGTATACCGGGTATGGACTGGGCGTAGCTGCTGAATTCATTGGAATGGAGCGGGGGCTACGTTATTGGTAGGATTTTGACATATTGGAGCATCTGTAATCATGTCCTTATCCAGCATAAGACAGCTTGACAGTTGTTTCATGTGAAAGTATCCCATGAAAAACACTTCTTGCGTCATCTTCAAGTGAACTACGCAGACACGCCTACTCAGTCTGTGGGATATGAAGTACAAGAACAGGAATAAAAGACAGGATCCCTCTTGGTTTTCGTCTGTTTAAGGGGGAAAATCTTTTGATGTGTATAAATATTTCAAGCATTAGTCTGGTACAAAGATTTGTTGATATTGTGGCGCGTTCGTGGCTGGAAGTCGCGCTGTCAGCCTCTGTGAAGGTCATACAGCACATAATACTAAACCGGCCACCGTAGCTGACTCACAAAATCTGGGCGCTATTCACGGCTGCGGGAGGGAATTTTGGCCAGCTTGCTACTACTCATTGTCGTATTCAAACTCGCAAAAGTTTGTACAAACTTTGGCTGCCACCACTTTAGAGCTTCACGAGATCTCAGTAACTCGACAGGACCATGGGATACGGAATTCTCCCACCCCCCCCACTTGCCAAATTGCGCCGAGAACCGTCTTTCCTTCATTCATGTTATTGCATACTGTCCTTTTCGTTGGAAGTATCGGTCATTTTTTTTCAGTTTTCTGACAAACTCTATAATGGATTTCTCGTTCCTGTTCTCAGGTGGAAAAGCTGACCAAAGCCAATACAACCCTAGAGAAGAAGTTGGAGAAGGCCAACCAAATCCTGTTGAAAACAGAGGACGCCAAGGGAAAACTCGAGGATTTGTGTCGAGAATTACAGAAAATGAACAGGCAGGCTAGTGTTTTCGTATTTTTCTTCTCTTTGCTTTGATGGTGAAGCATTTGAACAAGATTACTATCAAGTTCTTGCTCAAGAAGTTTTGAAATCTTATCAAAGAATTCACTGCTTTATTCGGCACTTTTTCGTCTTGGTAGTCATTGCAGAAGCCTGGAAAGTCCACGATAAGTGCGATCTACCGATGAATGTCATTCTAAACTCAAGAGCAAATTATTTCAGACTTAAGACATCTAGGAGGGGGGGGGTCTCGTGGCTCACAAACACAATTGAACTTGTACTTTGACCACCTTTGACCCTGAGCAATGTCAGAGAAGGGGTAAGCGCGTTTGTAGCGGTTACGCATACACCTTTTCCTCTCGGTTTGGGATTCTCGGCGCTCATTCAAAGCTCTTGGAAATTTTGCATGCTGAAATCTGAGGCTCTTTCGTCGAAATCCGACAAGAACGGGGTTCCCTTTCCCCCACCGTAAACGCCTTGAGACTTTAGTGAACTGACTGTTAGGTTTGTCAGCGGTAGGTCGAAATTATCTTGGGCTTTTCCTGGCTCTGACGAAGGCGATTCAGCCGAATAAGTTAGTAATGAAAACTTGCCTTTGTCTTCGACATCTCTTGGGGAAGATCTCACTCGATGTCAAGTTTCACGGAAAGTCGATATTGGGTGCATTTCACCAAGTTTTATATTCAGATCCGCGAAGATAGTGTAAACAAAGTTCGCCTACTTGAACATGAACGACATCAAGCTGTTGAACAACTTAGAGGAGCCTTAAAGGTATCTTACAAAATTTTTTAGATGAGTGTTGGATCTCTGTAATAAGGAATAACCGATAGAGTCCAAATAGTAATGATTTCGGCGCAGTTTGGCGACGAGGCTGTCCAATTTGCTCTTCGCTGCTTCCAACTGTGGTGTCGAGCCATCAAGTAGCTTGTGAAGACTGGGGAAGTCATGAAATGATATCAGTCAAAGTTTGTGAAACTACTTGTCAACTCTTCTAAGGCAAGTGAACAAGGCAGTGGGAAGCAGCGAAACTACATAATGCCCCTCCTTCGGTCGTCAAAGTGCGCCAGGATTTGTGCCAGTAATGCGCACACTGTATATATCACTATCTATGCGCACACTGGCGCTGTCCGACTTGGCGGGTGTGTTGCACTTCCGCTAGTTTGTGTTGTTAGATAAGACCTGTACCCAGGGCACGCCATCGTTGTGACACAACGGGGGGTCGTATTTAGTCGTTGTTGAGAGGGACTGCCAAAGATCTACACAACTACTATTCCCGATAGAAAATGG